ATGTTGAAGGCAAGCAGGGCAGTTGTCTCGCCGAATGGGTCGAAGTTGCTGGAGGATGGGCATCCCCATAGATTCGGATTGTTGCCCTTTAATGTTCGCTGTATAATCTTCGCCTCCTGGTTTCCGTACCTATTTGTTCGACTATGAGCATTACTCGGTTCGCCCTTGGAGTTATTTGCTTGAGCCTGCATGTTACGTTGGCTGTGGGTTTCTGGACGGCGTTATACGGATCTGACGGCTTCTTACGTGGAAGACGGTGTGACCATTCTCATCAATATGGACAAATACATCTAGCGTGCTTCGTATATCTCACCTGGTTTGCCGCAATCACTCTAAAAAGAAAACAAGTGTATGCTCAGAAGGTCGTGCTGTTGGGAATCCAAGTCGGCTACCAAGTCGTCATTCGTCTGGACCACGTTTCTGCTCGGTTCCCTGGAGCGATGGCAGGCCAGAAGGAATGTCGTTCCTCGTATTGAGCACAAACATACGTTGTGCGGTTGCGTGGCTGGATGCGTCTGCTTGCGATACCTAATGTCTGGTGGTGGGCATGCTTTGGGTGGTTTCTTATTCGCCCTCGTGGCTTATCCCTGACATTGTCAGGCAGCGAACAGCAAATCTCCAGTTGGTGTATGGATGGGGGTGTTGTATGGACAAGCGAAGGATCGCCGACCGACAACGACCAGACATTGTTGTAGATCTCCTGGAGCTTACTTATTGACCTCCTGCTGAACGGGCCATCCGCACCGTACTAGCACCTATCAAATGTCTCTTGTGTCCTTACCACCACCTGGCGCAAGCCTCATGTGTTCCTATTCTGCTGTTTTGACATCAATCTGCTGTTTTCTTTTCCCCTTGGAATAATTCTTTTTAGTTCGATGCCCCGTTCTTCCCACATCATGTCATGAAATGTACATATCTACTTTATATGCTTCTCTCTGTTCTTTCGTGCTGAAAGGGGAAGTTTCCCTTTCATCTTCATTTCAATCACACATTCACGCGCATCCATACATTGTCATGGTCCAAGTCTTGAAGTTACTGTTTGTCCATAGTTGCCTGGGATGTTCTAGTAATTTTGAAGTACTCCTGGTACTTGGTGTTAAAATAATACTACTATCTATCTGGTCGGTCAATCTCCAGTTCTCGGGAAAATAAGGAAGAGGTCAAAGGGGAGTATCAAGACCAAGACTTGGACCCTCTTCAAGATTGGGGGAGGGGCCTACTAGTCTCGATCGGGTGTAGTGGCCTGAGAGTAAGCCTGATAACGGATGCCTTATCGGCGATAGTTTGGAGCTGGGGTCACTCATGATAGACAGCCAACAAACACCTGATGAGATAGTATGTTCCTACTTCGTACTTACCGCTAAGCCTGAGCAACACGGAAACCTTAACTCCCACCTGACCCAGCCAGAGAGAGGGTTGAGGTATACTTAGTGACCTCCAGTCACGACTGCCGTGATATCCCATGTCAGGTGCCCCGCGCAAGATAGCCGTCACCTTCTCTTCCGGTCCAGTCCAGTCACTCCAGTCATCTCTATCTATCTATCTATCTCCCTTGACCGTTGCATTTCCCCTACTACCTTTGCTCCCATTTTCCACAACTCACCCTCGGTCGGTTTCTCTTTACAAGGCTTTCCCCCCTTCCACTTACCGCTAGTTTCCGAAAACCACGTTGATGAACTAAATCCATCTTGCCCCGAGTGAGGCACCTGACCTAATCTTCCGCCCGGGCCGCGAGGAACAACAGCAGCATCAAGCGCCTCACCCCCCACTTGCAATTCATCGTCCGCCTAGGCTGTCATCGGGCATCTGCCTATTAGGCTCGGACAATCCAGGCAGACTCTCCCCAGCCAGAGTTTTCCTGTAGTAGACAGCAGAACTTGCTTTGTTGAAGTTAACGTATACTTCCGCTGACTCTTCATTCTCTTCATTCCTGAGCTTATCCGTCGTCCTCTGCTTCCGGTCAAAGCTCCACTCTGCAGCTCTTCACTTGCTCTTTCCCTCCAGAACCTTACTGATGAACATTCACTCGCAAACACCATGGCTGACTCTTCAGAGCCTCACCCCAGGCCTTCCCAACACTCTTCAACCGCTTCGAGCTTACAATATCCCACTCTCCCTCCGTTGAGTGCCTCTGTAGAGGAGTGGTTATCGCGATCGCGGCCTATCAGTATGACGTCAACTCCATTGGAACACCACTCCAAGTCCCTAAGCGAAAGCTGGGCGACGATGAGTGCATCCGACGTACACTCGGAAGATGGCACTCGCTCTGAACAGACAGATCTTGGGTCTTTGATCGATCAGACCGGTCCTGATGACGTAGCAAGTCTCGATGGCCGGTCCAGCAACAGCGACTTAGATACAAATGACGAGGATGGATTTGATGGTGATGGCTATGAATCCAGAAGCAATGTTTCAGTGTCCCAGGAACTTTCATCGGCCTTCCCTCACATAAGAAACTCGATCGATGACAGCAACCTAACTACCAAGACGGCTTTACGGCAGTCGGTTGAGTCCATCGAGTTCATTGAACCGGAGAACTGGCCCGAGATTGAACGGGTAGAACTGAAGCATACCATCCGAGTGTTCGAAGGATCTGACACAGCAGAACTGGAGCAGGAGCTTCCTCACAGGTCAGAAGGCTCCACTGTCACGGCCACCGTGCAGCAGACCATGACTAGGAAAAGCCTTGACACCGACAAGCCTTTCCATGTGGTATATATTGGCAGCCCGGAATTTCGAAACATCATTCTCGATAAAATCGGGGATGTGTTAGTGTCGAGCACCTATAGCGGTTTCGAGAGCAGTTCTACAGAGTCGTCCAGGTATCATGTCGTTCCAACGTCCTTTGGCGCAGGCGCAGTTCCCAATTTCGCCGAACTCCTCCCCATCCATGTTCAGCTTATTGTGGACGAATGCACCGAGGCTACTGCGGATCCCCATATGGACAAGCCCAGCACAATCACACTCAAATTCAAGGGTCGGCCACCATGCTCTTCGATGTGGTCAGGGGCCGATTATTGTATTTCATCTTCGGTCCAATGGGCGCTACCTGATGTCGCCATCTTCTTCCTATCTGGCACTGATACTCCCGAAGACATTGAGACCCAGAAAATGGCCCGCATCCTCATGGAACGACACGGTATTCCGACCATGGTCATCTCGGAAAAGCCGCTCTGGACGATGTCTAGAGACCCTGTCCCTCTTAATCCCCACAGTCTCCACATGTGTCTGGAATTCCGCAATGCCCTGGATGGGAAGTCCAAGGTACTCCGGAGGTATCCTATCGATCTGAAGACCTTCGAAAGTATTACACCGGGGCAACTAAACCGGAACCTGGCATCCCTAGCAACTATCTGTCCCAGAAAACCATGTCAAATGGCGTTGGAAGATTTGGATTCCCCTCGCACCAACTCATTTTGGGAATGGTGCACGTCCATCCATAAAGACCTTTCTCGTCCTTATATTGGCGACTATGGGGTGTCGATGTCTGCGTATCGTTTCATTGCTTTCAGTATCCTATCTATTGTATTCGTATTCTTAGGCCATACAGCCATGCTGGCCGCTAACTCGACCTTTTCTCGACAATATGCTGACCATACACTAACCAAAGCTGTCACCCCTGTTTCGAGCAGTGTCCCAGCTACCAGCTTTTTGCACACGATGACATCACTTTCCGTGTTGCCTACGTCGCTTGGCGACCTCGAGCCGCGAGGGGACCATGTGGGCATCAACACACGATTACATGACCTAATAGAAGGCGTACAGTATGTTTCCGAACGGCATGAGATGATGGACTCGTTCGAAATCCAGGTGGTCGGTGATTGCCATCTCGTAATCAAACCGCCTCACAAACTTGGCAAAAAGCAGCCAAAGTTTAACGTCCAAGTCAGTCGAAATGGCAAGCCTCTCGAGTATGAACTCTCGGTGTTATTCGATGGGGTGTACACACTGAAACTAGATCGCGCGGATGCATACGGTCAGGTGGATGTGACGCTAACTACGATTACAATGAAGCCCCACATACAGACAACATCTGTGGACTTCGGGACGCCGTGGTTGAAGATCCAGAACTGGAAACGCGCAGCACATCTTATTGCCTCTCAGATTTTGCGAGACTTTGCCACTGCGCAGACCGGACTGTCCGAGGTCTATGGTCGGGTCTGCACCGATTTGCAAGTGCTCATGGGAGATGTTGTAAGAAGGGCTCACTTCCTACGGAAAGAGGCGTCTACTTTGCGACCCGAGTCGGTGCACATTTCCCGCGAAACGAAGGACATAGTGGTGTCCCGATCAGAGCAACTTACCGAAGTCGTCAAAAAAGGTGCTGTGCAGCCACTTTTAGCTGTCTCGTCTGCACTGCAGGCTCAGACCCAGAAAGTGCATACAGGAGCTAGAGAGATGATGAGTGGCACATGGGACAAGATCAGCTCTCATGCACATACGCTTGACTTTGGTGCAGTGAAAGAACGATTCCGAGATGCGAGGAAATGCAAGGCTTTGGATACGGCGCAGAAGAGAGCCCGAAGTCTGGTGAGACGGAGGACTTGTCAGCAGTCGGAGTGTTCGCAATAGGGCTATTGTCGCTGTGCCTCATGATTGAAGGCCAACAATTCGGCGATAGTTCTTTCAGAATACTATACATTCCTTTCATGTAATTTCCTATGTTGATTGCTTCTTGGGCTGGTTTATTGGGGTTGCTCGCAGGCGAAAGGATGGGTCAGATATCAGGGTCGGACTGAATCATGGGATAAATTCCTGAAATACATGCTGGATTATGTATCAGTGGAGTATGTTGACACTTGCCACGTGCATGACCTTTTTCGATTTTTCCCCCGAGTGAATTTGGTCTCTAGACGTCTCTCTGTAAGGAGTAGTGATAAGAAGTTATAGTTACTGCGGATCGCCCGCCGGCATCAGCAAAGCCAGACTTGCAGGGCGGTGGCGCTAGTGCGGCCTTAGGCGCTTAGGCAATGAACCTACCCACCTCAAAACAACCCCGTCCATATTTTCCCACCCCTCCTCAGTGACTCCCACTTCCCCGATACATTTCTTCCTTTCCTCCTTCTTACCAGGTACATCCCCAGAAACATCCATCTCTATCGGAACTTTCCCGCTTATAAATTTGACAGCCAACGCATACCATCCACCATGTCTGACGTCGCTGAGACCAAGCCCGACCCCACCACCAGCGCTCCTGAGGGCGCTGAGAAGCCCGAGGAGACGACCACCACCGCCCCCGAAGAGACCAAGACCGAGGAGAAGCCCGAGGAGTCCAAGTCGGTGACTGAGTCCGCTGCCGAGGCCGTTAAGGACACTGCCACCAAGACCACCGACAGCGTCTTCTCCATGTTCGGCGGTGGCCCCAAGAAGGAGAAGCAGGAGGAGCCCGAGGATGCTAAGGACGAGCCCTCCGGCTCTTCCAAGGCCCAGAAGGGTGAAGATGAGGTATGCATGCATTTGATTTGCGCTATGCTGATGTCGATGGTCCCCTTACGCCAGTTTGACCGTTACCCCGCTTTCCCCTCCATTGATGTTCACTTTTCGTCTTTACCCCTGATTCTTTGTCCGCCTTTTGTTGGATTCTGCAAAAGTCTCACGACAGACCTGTTATATTGGCTACTAGTGGCTAACCATGCTGTTACAAACTTATAGGACGAGGCCCCCGAGTCCCCTGAGGTTCACTTCGAGCCCGTCATCCGCCTGACCGAGAAGGTGGAGACCAAGACCAACGAGGAGCTGGAGGAGCAGACCTTCAAGATGCGTGCCAAGCTTTTCAGATTCGACCGTGACAGCAAGGAGTGGAAGGAGCGTGGTACCGGTGACGTCCGCCTGCTCAAGCACAAGGAGAACCAGAAGACCCGCCTCGTGATGCGCCGCGACAAGACCCTCAAGGTCTGCGCTAACCACTACAGTGAGTGTTGCCGTTTATAATTTGGTGTGGACTTGGATGGCTAATCGATCTTTCAGTTGTTCCCGATATGAAGTTGAGCCCCAACGTTGGCAGTGACCGCAGTTGGGTCTGGAACGCTACCGCTGATGTCAGTGAGGGTGAGCCCGAGGCGCAGACCCTGGCCATCCGTTTTGCCAACAGTGAGAGTAAGTGGACATCGAGATACAGAAGGGGGGGCAGGTTCATTTTGCTAACATCAAATTCTAGACGCCAACCTCTTCAAGGACGCTTTCGAGAAGGCCCAGCAAGAGAACGAGAAGCTGCTTAGCCAGCAGTAAGCAGGTTCCTGGCCTCGGATTTTCCTGGTCATCAGTGATATAGAGGGCTATTGTTAATGAACATTTTGATTCCCTTTCCCCCAGCATAACGAGTCTGATGTGGACTGCTCATGAAAGACCTATTTCACCTTCATCCCGACTTATCTTTTGTTTCCCCCTTTCTCTTCTCACAAGCATCAAGCTCCTTACCATTTTCACTGCCCCTGCTTGAGAAAACAGAATTAATGACGCCGGTCATGGCGAGACCATGAGTCGATGCATGCATGGGTCCTTGGTTTTCGGCCATGTGGTCCCTTGCATGTCGTGCGACGACTTGGTACACAGTAGATAGACATCACATGCCCCCAAAATATACGTATGAAATTCACGAAGTCTCTGCCTGCACCTATTGTACCTTTACAATCGATCGATAGAGTTTGACTTGGCTCTCCCTGCTGATGATAATGGTAGTGGAGGGATTTCCCTTTCTTTCCCCCAAAGTTCGAATAGATGGATTATCCCGCAATGTCACATTTGAAAATTGAAGTAAATTCCCGAGCACAAAACTCCCCTCCCTTGGAAAAGCTAGTAGTAATGAGATGCAACTCGAATGTGGGTGGCTGTACCTGTTGGACGCTGGCGGTTAGTTAGTGAGTGAGTGACCCTTTGGGCGTCGTCGCGCCGCCGCGTCGAAGAAAGAGGCCGTCCGGCAGTCAATAACCACTTCCAATCCCCCACCCGGCTTTCAGCCCGCGGAAAGCTTCACTCTCGCTCACTCCTCCTCCCTCTCTTGTTTCTACGTCTAACCCCATCCCTCGCTGGTCGGACACCTTTTACAACTGCTCCCTTCCCCCCGCTAACAACCATTCGCTCCGCTCCGAATCTGCAGGATTCCCGACAGGAACTCCCGCCAAACATCCGACTTTGCCTCACCCAGGCATCGCGCGACCTCGACATCCGATAGCTCCTGCATCCCATTCAGACTTTCGCGGGAAGGGTCTCTGGGAAGATCACCTCTAGTTCTTTTCTTCTGATTTTGACGGGCGATTGATCCACCCTCCTCTTTCAAGATGCCTGACGTGAGTTCCGCTTCCCTCCCCAGATTCAGCAATGGCACCCTCTCCCACTGGCGCTTGACGCGAACAAACTCGGTCTACTTTCCACTGGATCGCATGACACTGACGTGACGCTTTTGCTTTCCTTATACAGGTTAAGAGAAATGTCAGATTGGTGACCGAGCAGCACATCGTGTACGTTGTCTCCTACTAATCCTCCCGGTTCCCGAGTCATTCGTGAATGAATCACCACCGCTTCTCTTCCCCGTCGTCGCTGCCTATCCTTCTCCCCTCCTTCTCACATCCGTTGTCGGTCATCGCGCGATGGCGATTCGGTGTGCGCTTGGGCTCCTACACGGTTACCTCTGCAGATAATGACACAAGGGCAGAAGCTGGAGATGAGAAAGTCCCTCTTTGCTGACCTCGTGCGCGTCTTCGCGTCTACAGGAACAAGGACTCCGGCGTTGAAGGATTCCCCCTCCGATCATGGTCAATTGAGATCTACGTTGTCAATGAGCACGGCGAGCAGGTGCCTGCGAATGTCTTTGACAAGGTGACATACACGCTGCACCCTAGTTTCGGCGACAGGGCCATTCAGAGTACGTCACCTCCTCTGCGCTTCAGATACCCCTCGGTTCGCGTCAGGCCATTGGAAACCGGGCGATAGAGATGGTCGATTCTACAAGAGAAAGGTGGAGAGGGATCACTAGCAGCTGCTGACATCGGAACAGCTTTCAAGAACCCCCCTTTCAGAATCTCAGAGGAAGGATGGGGTGAGTTCGACATGCAGATAGGCCTCACTGCCGCCGACAAGGAGCACTTCGTTACGCACGATCTGAACTTTGCTCAGCCCCGTTACGAATCCAAGCACGTTATTGTGAGTAGATGGCTCTCAGTGTTTTTCCCAGCACTTCCAAAACACCGTTTATTGTGCTAATTCTCTTTCTCCCGCACAGACGTTCAAGAACCCCAAGCCTGCCCTACTAGCCCTCCTCCGCGAATCCGGACCCGTCCCAGGGGACGAGAATGGCGTGAAGTCGAAACGCGCCGCAACCGGAGAGGAGGGGTCCAAGAAGAAGAAGCGGACAGAGAAGAGTGTAAGCGACGACTCAGCCTCCGAAGAAGGAAAATCACAATAGAAACACATCTGACATGATCCCAATCCCAGGTCGACATGGACAAGCTGGCCGACGGTCTGCAGCGACTCGGCGAAGACGACCTCCTTCAGGTAGTACAGATGGTGCACGACAACAAAGCCCCAGACTCGTATACCAAGAACGATGTTGAGCGTAAGCCTACCACTACCTTTTAGAAATCTCTCATCTCACTAATCAATCCAATCTCATCACAGAGGGAGAATTCCACGTCGACCTATATACTCTTCCAGACACCCTAATCAAGATGCTGTGGGATTTCACGCAGGAGAAAGGCGCTTTGTGAACAAAAACAACTACAACTTACTAGTTACCCCATGATATTTTCTCTTTCCTTTTTGTTCTTATCAGACCTCTTTTGGGCGAAACAATTGCTATCTTGTTGTATCTCTCTGGCTGTTATTTTCCCTCCTCCTCCCCTTATTCCACTCAAAGTTACTAACTAACTACTTACGGAGTACTTTACTTACTTTACTGGCTACATTTCGCATCTATGAACACTACTACTAGGACTTGTCTATTGTCTATCTTGCTTACTTACCTGTCTATCTACTAGCCTCCACCTGCGTTGTATTTTTTTGGGTGTGCTTTCTCTCATTATCACAAAAGCAAAACAAACAGGAAGAAGAAATCGAAGTGGTAAATGGATGGTTGGATGGATGGACGGGTAATAATGATTCGTTTGTGCAATAAAGTAGCGGAACAGAGACAGAAGGAGGGAGTTGAGGGGGGGGGAATAAGTACCGAAATAAAAAAAAACAATTTGGGCACTGTATTGTTGTCTTGGGAAGTATTGCACTTGATTAATGGTGGTTACTGGCTTGACTCAGTTACCACATAGTATTAGTAGTACTTTTGGTACTAACTTAGTAATTAGGTGAGGTGAGTGTTCTACTTCTACACTTAATTAGAGGTTATGTGTCGGAAATTTTTATATTCTTGATGCATGTTGATGAGTGTAGTGGTTGAATTGGTTGTTTCAGTTCGTTTGCTATGTGTTCATAAGTTATGGTATGATGTAATATCATGCCTGGTGGCATGATGTGTATGCTACGTATACAAGTACTGCAGTTTGTGACATCGGTAGAATGGTTCGAGTAGTAGATGAATAAGTAGATGGATAGTTGGTCTCGGATAATAACACATCATGGCATCTGAAAGGAAAAATAACGAAAAGGAGAAAAAACCAAGAACCGCGTTGGATATCTCAAGCTCAAGGTCAATCAAGCAACAATCAATCAATCAACCATGTAAAATCAAAGGCCCAGCCTTGCCTGCCTGAACACCAGTAGTACTGTCACGTATGTACTGTAGATCCGTCTATATGCATGCATGTACCCGAACAAATGAAAAAGAGAAACAAGAGGAAATAACAAACAACCAAGACACACTGCCGGCCAATCGAGGATGCAAGAGAAGGAAAAGAGGATAGAGATGACCTGGACGCCCGCTTTGCTGCATTTTGAAGTGTTCGTGCAGAGAACATTATGCTGTCATATTAACGTGAAGAGAGGAATATTTTGCGTTTCTAGAGTGCTTGTTCGTTTTACAAGATACGGTATCTGTTTGAATGGTCAGTGGTTTTGTCATTGATATGAAGGGTAAAGGGATGTAACATACGATCTGAGCAAGTCTTCAAGACTGTCTGCGCTGCAGCTCCGACCCTTGGGAATCTGTCTCAGGATCTCGACGATTGTAGCAAAGACGTCGCCGTCCTTGTATGCTAGCAGGGCGGGGGCTTCGATGTGATCCATCTCGGCGATTTCGTGGTGGAGCTTGACGAAGTGAACAGTGGGTTGACGACGAGCAATGGTGTTGAGAGAATCTTCAACAATGCTGCTGGTTGTGGACTATAGAAGCGTCGGGTCAGCGACAAGGGTTCTTGAACGAATGATACAATTGGGTCAACCATACCTCTGGGTCATAAACGCAGACGACTACTACCGTGCCGGATGTGACCTTCTCAATAGCATCCAGGTATCCCACCGCATCGACAATATCCACTGACCCGTACAACTTGCGCCGGGGACTAGGCTTCCTCAGGCTGCGGGCCTGCATTTCCTGCATGCGAGCCGCGCGCCATTGGTGAAGGAATCGTTCCTCATCATCGCTAGCGGAAGATCCATCTGGTGGGGAGGAGTTCTGGAGGAGTGTAGCGTCGTCGTTGACGGACTTGTTGTGGTGGGAGCGATCGAGACCAGCGACGCCGAGAAGGGTTCTGCGGAAGGAGCTCTTGCGAGCACGCTCAAAGGCCTGGGCATCGGCGATGACACCCTTAGGGCCAGTGTTGGCGTCGTAGACGGTGTTGGGGACGCGATAACTGCTGGGGTTGCGGGAGTGCATGGCAGAGGGAGTGTCTTCGGCGTCGGAGAATTGGGGTTCGTCGTGGTCCGAGGATGCGTCAGAGGAGTGAACCGAGTCGTTGTCACGGTCCTCAGGATGAGAAGAGAATTTCTCCCGGTTGTTGTTTATGAGTTGGTTGAACTCGTCTTGAGCAGATGACATCGTGAAGGAGGAAGCGGGGGGGTTCCGGGCTTTAAAACAAGGTCGAAGACGATGACAATGTCAATGATATTCTTAGAGCTTGGCTGCGCCTTGATCTGCGTCGACGATGGGGTACCGTAAGGGCCTAGTTTATTTTTCCGGATTTCAAAAATTTTTGCCTGGTAAGGAGCAGCTGGCGGGGGGGGAAAAGCGAATGAAACGAGAAAAAGAAGCGAAACCAATGACGAAGGGTCGTATCCAACACGAAAAATAGGGGGGTTTAGAGAAGCGTGTCCCAGAGAGTGTTAGTACACGTTTCAGAATATTTTTATGGTTTTCGCTCCGGTGCTTTTCCTAAGAGAGAGGGGGTTCCAGAGCGTTGATCCAAGGGAAGGCAGCAAAAGGCAAGAGAGGGAGAGAGAAGAGAGGCTGAGGAGGGGGGATGTGGAAAGAAGGAAGTGGCGGGAGGATGAAACAATCGAGGCCCGAAGGATGGAAGGGGAAGAGAGAGAAGAGAGGGAGAGGGACGGGCTGCCCGAAGGCGAAGATCAGCCAGTAGGAAAAAGGGGCGGTGTTTCAGAAATCGGAGATCAGCCCCCGGGGAAAGAAGCCGCGAAGAACCTTCCATTTCATCCTATTCTGTTGCCCCGGGTGCCATGGTTGATCCCCCAATGGCTGTGGCCATGGTGCGGCTGACCGGGCTAAATTAAAAGAACAAGAATGGCATTTTATTATTTAGTTTGTATAAGATCGAAATATCAATCCAGCAGGGCTGGAATTAAAGCGAATGGCTAGCTCAATCGTGATGTGGAAGTCCACGTACAAAATCGTACTATAGAGCCCACAAAAGCCGACACTCTAATTCACCCACAACGACGTGGGATTTCGTGGCAATGCTTTGGCTCTCCCACACTGTTTTCTCCCCTTGTACCCCCCCAAACCTTTATGTCACCGCGTGATTACCACTAACTCAATGTCCACACGACCGATGACGTGGTGTGCTGGAGGACACGAAGGATGGGCCTTCGCAAAGAGAGGGCTATTTGCTTGGATGGTTACCTCCAAATGGAAATCAGGATCCTCCTTGCTCTGACAACTGGCAGCTCCCCAGTGGATCTAGCAGCATCAGAAGTGTTTCATCGCCATCCACGGAGAAAAAATCCTGTCGCTCCTCTCCCTCAACAAGGACTCCCAACACCGCTTCTGGTAAGTTTTGCGTTCGACGTGTTCACCTCGGATCCTAACGGTTTGCGCATCGCCCGCGCTGGCCGCCCTTGTGGAGACAACAAGTGACACATCTTTTGGATAGGGCCCCCAGATCCAGTGGGCTCCGCCGTCGGGCGAGATCCGGACAATGGCCTTCCAGGTTCTGGCCGTCCAGTGAAAGCTCGCCCTGCCCTTCCGGTTTAGACAGTGTCATCATGTTCCTGTTGATCTGGCCCCGTCCCCGGTGGAGTATGGAATCGTTGCCTTGCCTGTTCGTTATTTCTCTTCCGCGGGCAGATCCTTCATCCTGAGAGTGGTACGTAAGTAAGTATAGGGCGATAGATCAGCCGACCCCACGCGTGTGGGAACTATTAATAACTTGGGACATCCCGTGTACGCTGGTCCGTTGCCAGTAGGACTGACCTTTTCACCGCTGCAAGCGATCCCAGCACCCTTTTATCTATCAGGTATATTGTCTCCTGGTCTCCCCAAATGATCACTCCCAGTTCTATCCCAGCGACCCTTTCCCGAGCAGGGTGAACCAAGCGGGGACAATGACACAAAAACAGGTATCCAAAGAGATTATTGAGCTTTTCCAAAAAAGTATTGCCTGTCATTTGTACTAGTGGCTGCCTAACAACTCTCTGCCACACCTTGGCTGACCACCAGGCCGGGACATAAGAGTGTCGCGGAACATGACATCGTGGGGCGAGCCCCCCGAGGGATAAAGGAAAGATTTGCTGGAAACATGGTCGAATTCAACACCAGATATGAAAAGAAAAAAGCCCGCTTGAAAACACTCAAATGACACAACCGACACTTTCAAGACGTAGGCTGATGATTAGTAACAGGAGATCGCAGTAAGAGTCAAAGGAAAAACGTCATGGCCTATCCGGAAACATTCCCTCCCTTTCCATCCATCACCCGCAAAAAGTACAGAAGATAGTGAGTAAGAAAGGTTAGAGAGAAGAAAAAGGGGTGGGAGAAAGAAAGAAAAAGTGAAAAGAAGACAAGAAAATACTCGATCAGGGTAGTAATCGAGGTCGGAAATTGAAGAAAAAGAACAAGGGGAAAGACGTCGAAGAGGGAGATGGGGTTAGTAAGGGTGAAGGGTAAAACGAGATCGAAAGAAATGAACACAAGTAAGAAAATCAAGCCCGCGAATACATAAGAACAGGGGCCTGCAAATCTTCGAAGCTCAAAAGATGACATGTGAGATGCGCTGCCTCTTGCCCAGCAACGCACAGATATCCGTGCAACGATCCCGAGGTCTCAAACATCAATAGCATTATTACAACCCACCGCACCAGTAGTCGAGCATTATCGGTTCGTGTTGGCATTCTGCTCTTCTCTTTGCTTATTCTTGCTCGTCACACCCAGCTGGGAACGGCGGCAGAATCCCAACCCCGACATGCTTAGGCACCCTGACTGCCCCGTGATTTTTCGCTTCTTGGTAACTTTGCCGGTACTCCGAGATAGTACATTATGGAGCAAGGGCGACAAGATTTGCTCCCGGTGAAAAAAATTATCGTACAATGGCGGACATTTAGCCTAGTGGCGCAGAAAAAGGAAAAAAGAAACTTGGAATGAGGACGTCGCAAAAGACTGAGACAGGGTATCTTTGCTGTTTTTGTTCGTTTTGCTTTTTTACCAAGCCCAGACCTTGAGCTGTAAGACGGAAGATGATTAGTATGCTGCACAGCCCAGTCAACCAGAATGATGCTCTTGCTAAGCTTACCAGAGAATCCCAGGATCCAGTGCACAAGCTGATGCCATCGTTGCTGACTCCCAAGCAGCTTACGCGGTTCTCGTGACCACTCAGGGATCCAACCTTGTCTCCGCGCAGAACATCCCAGACCTGCAGGTATAACATGATCAGCCGGTGGTCCTATATTACAACTAATGTGGGCGGTTTCAGGTGTTACCTTGCACTCGAAGTCATCGTAACCAGCAAAAAGCAATCTGCCAGAGACGGAGAAGGCAACGGAGGTGATACCGCACAATATTTGGTCGCTCTGGAAACATCATTCGTCAGCTACAGATGAATTCGCCAGACATATTGTCAGCATTACCTGGTAGGTGTTGAGTTCGCGATCCGCACGAATGTCGAACAGACGGCAGGAGGTGTCGTCGGAACCGGTTCCGAAAGCGTTTCCGTCGGGGAAGAACTGGATGGCGTTGATGTCGGATTCGTGTCCAGCGAAAGTTTGCACCGCCTTTCCGGTACGGATATCCCACAGCTTGGCGAAGGCATCGCAGGCGCCCGAAACGAAAACGTTCTGGTTTGTCGGGTTGATGCTGATCGACATCACGTCGCCAAGGTGATCAGCGAATTCAGTAACCTTCGAGCCCGATTCGATATCCCACAGCATGCAAGTCATGTCGCCGGAAGACGTGATGATTCTGCGATCGTTGATGAACCGGCAGCAAGAGAGGTAGCCGGAGTGTCCGGAGAGCTCACGCGCGACACGGGTCGGACCCTCGCGAGAGGAGAGGTTGTAGATCGAGCAAATGTTGTCGAGACCACCGCAGGCGACGTAGTTTCCACTTGGGGCATAGGCACAGGTCATCACCCATGATGACCTCAGCGGGATCGCATGGACCTTGTTCGTGGTGTAGGCGTCCCAGATGATGAGCTTTCCGTCCTGAGAGGCGGAGACGAGATGACGACGGTCGGTCGACCAATGCATGGCGTAGATCTTGGCCAAATGTCCCTTGAGCGTCCGCCGGGGCTTCATACCAATACGAGGCAAGGTTTCAGTTTGGTTCTGCGCGACTTGACGGACTGTTGGGGGGGAGAGAAGGAACCAGAGTCAGCAAATCGAAACACACGACCAATCATGAGTACAACGACGACTGGTTGTCCCCCATTGCGAGGAGAGGCCATGAGATGCGAAAGGGAAAAAGAGGGATGCGTACGAGTTGTATCGGCCAACTCATCCTTTCTGCGCTTGATCTTGTCCTTCAGGCCTTCAGCTTCGCGCCTAGCCGCGGTAATCTTAGCCTGCATCTGTTCGCCGGACATGTCGGCCATCTTGACGGAACGAGCCCCTGGAGAGGGAAGATGTCAATTGTGAAACGGAAGACGGGCCTGAGGGGAAGAAATTGAGTTGACGGCGGGCGGCGGCGTCGTGAGATCCAGGGGACTTGAAAGAACCGCGAGAGGGGGGTGCGGGAAGAGGGCGGTAGGGGGAGGAGGAATGGGAATAGAGAGAGGGAAGGAGAAGGAGTGAGAGAGAGAGAGAGAGAACGAGGAGGGGGGTTGATTGGGTGTGGAGCGAGTGCACGGCGGAAGCGACCGAGCGAGAGCAAAGAAAGTTTCGACCCGGGGCAATGGTGAGGTGGTTCGGGCGTTTAAGTCAGCAGGGGGGGAGGGAGAGTAAGTAGTAGTTGAAAGTAGTTTAGTGGTGGTAGTGGTAGTAGTAGTAGTGGTGGTGGTGGTGGTAGTAGGTGTGGGAAGGAGGGGGTGGGTTTTTGGTTGTAAGTAAAGTGAGTGAGTGAGCAAGCAAGAAAGCAAGCAAGCAATTAACTGCTGAAGCAGAGAGAGAGAGAGCACGAGGTAGTAGTGGTAATCGGGATGGGATAGGATACGATCTTTGGAAGAGGAAAAAAAAAATTAAATTAAGATAAAAAAAAATAAATAAAAAAATAAAAAATGGAGGGAAAGGGGGAAAAGAGAGAGGAGCCTGACGGACGGAAGGGCCAGAGAGGGAAAAGGCAGGGAAAAATCCAGTTGATGACAAGCAGTTAAGATGGAAGGTGGTCGTAGTAACTCCGTCGTAGCGCCAATAATAATCATGTATGGCCTCACCAGACTAAAGTAAGTCGTGCCCTTTACCTATCGGGGCTCTGATGGCTGCTACTAGACGCGGCTGTACGGACTACGACCGCGGACTATCTACTACTACGCCAACAATACACAATACACAAGACCGCAGGGACCAGAGTTCAGGGTAGAATAGGATGAGATGAGATGAGATTACATTCGATGATGTTACCCTTATTGCGGCGGTGGTGGGCGGCGATAATATTGGGCTGGTGATCCTGGCTGGTGAAACAATACCAATTATTCAAGAACACTGCCACCAAATGCGTTCACAACAATAAGACTGTGTGCCAGAAGAAGGAAGAAGCAGCAGTAGCAGATGATGATTATCGGAGAACCGGTTAGTTGAGTTAGTTAGGGGGGAGCTCCTCTCTCTCTTTCCCTCTTCCCTCTCTCTCCAGGAGGATCGGGGGAAGAGAGAACGGAGCCTCCTGATGAAAAAGCCAAATCCGGTGGAGGATTAGGTTACCTATTTGTGACGATACGAAAACCTTACCCGGCTGGCCCTTCATTCACCAGAAAGGGAACGTGCCATCCCTGATTGGCCAAACCAGCAGAAGAATTGGTCGGGTCAATTTCAACCGGTCCATCTTGTTCTCCTCGTTACATTACCCAGGGGTAACTTATCTCCTCCTCGTTGGTTTTAAGGGGAAACCAGCCAGAAGAAAAGACACTAGATACCACGACCACTAAGTCAAGTAGTCTAGCTCCAAGTACGAAGTGCCCAGGTAGGTAGGTACTCCGCCAAATGGTCCCAGGTCTCCATCAAGGCCACTAAGGGGGGAAAAGTGGTCTACACCCTGGTCAACCCGGTGGAGAATTTCCGCTGCCATTCCCCTCTGGTTGGCCAGATCGCCGACAAGTGGAGGTGCTCGGGACGCGAAAACCACAGGGGAATTTCTGAAAGGGGGGGGGCATTTCTTCGAATTAGTTGGGATTATTCTTCCGGGTCTTCCTTCAAATCTGAAATAGGGGACCTCCATACGGAGTAGTAAAGTATCTATCCATCTAACTAGTAAATCTCCAGCAGTTGAAGGAATGTTCATGGAAGGTTCAAGGTAGGACAGGGTTCACTAGACACTTACATAGTACATAATCTCTACCGTTGACAGTTGACATCTGCCGACTTTCATCTCCTTGCCCACGGGGCAAAGTCCGACAGTGCATGAATCGCGGTTAGTCCAGCTTGCATATCCACAAGGATTGGTACCAAAAATACGCGAATTGCTCTCTGCATGCCGAATGGCGGTCCATCTAAGCCTTGCACGAGTCCACCCCCCTCCCCTTTCCCAAGACTATCTACTTAAACGGGTAGGAAAGAGGAGAATGCTCTGCTTGCAGATCATGGTCATAGCTAGATAACGTCTACTTTACGGTTCACCATGTCTGTCTCCTGCAGAATCGAGTATCGAATCCGGGATAGATGGGGACTCCCGACGGAACTCAAGATTCATTCCACAATCAATTTGTACTGCATGTTGCCTCGGTCGACAGTCTGTCCACATCGTAAAGAGATACACCCTTTCTCAAGAGCCTTGAAAACATAGACAGTTTGTTTTGTTGAAACCAGGTTCTTGGATTAGTCCGATTTTGCCTTGCAAAAAGAGATCAGGATAAGTGATGACGAATATCTAGTGGATTAGTTACCCGCCGCATCCTTCGAGACTACTATTAGAGCCGTATCGTCTTTCAACTGGTCTCGCAAGATATGCATTAAGAAGTAAGCTCCAGTTCCAGCTTCATGCTGTGCATACCATGCAGCAACAATTCGTTGTGCAGATTTGATAGGCGTTGAGCCGAAAGCCAAGCGGGGATGGAATATTGCGATGGCTGGGGCAAATGCAAGTCAGAGGTTATTCTCCATTCATTCCACTTGTTGGCCAAACATCGGAATTTACTGGGTGCTTAGTAACCCGCTCACTTACTGCATCCAGTTGTATATCCGCAGTGAACAATGCTATTGTTTTACTTTCCATTTGCTTTTGCTTCTAAGTTGTGGTTTGACCTACCTGCTGGGGGATGTGCCGGACCGGGTAGTACTTAGTAGTATCTACCTTGCTCCTCAGATTTCTCTAGTTCTCTAAAACATTTGTGCGGCAGCGAGCCAACTCTTGTCCGCAAAGCGGCAGCGCCTACTGGTCATTTAATCTATAGCGTTGGAGACGGTAATATCCACCTACGTCAGGTTCCCGAATCTTATTGCCGGCTGCAGCTGCAAGAACTCATTCCTTTTTATCACGGCATAAGTTCGGCATGCTCATCCTCGGTGATGCATCACAATTACTTACTACTATCCAGGGCCGTCGGCGAATCATATCCAAATGTTGATTGAGAAAGTGTCTCATCACAAAGGACAAAAGGTCCAAAAGATGGGAGTTGCACCCCCAAATGACTCGTGAGAATCGCAGGGGAGATGAATAGAATTAGATAGGTATGGTCAGTGTGCGTTGAAGCGGGTCTACCTTCGGAAGGGAAATTGGTCACCACTTGTTGTCTAATTAGATGCCTATCGACTATCGACAGGAGGTCCAATACCAAGGCAGATATGGGGCGGGTATTGCTGCGTACGGCTTGTCCACCTGGAGAAAAGCGCTCCACTGGAGAGGAGGATCGCTCAACCTGTGCCTGACTAGCCCATCCGATGCCCCTCCGCCGGAAGGTCTTCATTTATCGGAATTATTAATGATATTGTCTAGTCGCATTCGTAATGGAGCTGCTGCGGCTTATTAATACCTGGCCAAGGCCAATTGTCCTTTGATGCCTTACGAAGTAGTCTAGTATCCGCAGCATGTTTGTTGTCCCCATTATTCTGCTTTGACGGCCTGGGCATGCCAGATGTACCATGGAACTTCAGTCCCTTTGTTGTTTCTGCCTACAATGAAGCTGCGTGAGAGTCTTTCAGAGCTGTTTTCACTTACTTCCCTTGAAGGTAGCATACCCAGAATATATTATTTCCATCACATTGCTCCACGGGCAATGGTATTTTCGATTGATTCTATTGGAATTTCCGATCTAGCGACCCGCAGCATCATGAATTGTAACTCTCATGCAGAGTGCCCTCTACATGCAGATTACTACTGCCTGCAGGCTAATGAAGCAATACATCGTCTCCTTTGCAGGAATACACATTGAATTTCTGCCTGGTGCAGCGCCTCATGTCCGAGCCGAGGCTGTGCCAGATCGACTAGTAGTACCCAGTATGTAGTGCGTGATAAAATAGTCCGCCTTACGGAGGGCACCTTGTGCTACTGCAGTGTACCAAAAATCATACAGCGGAGTTAGATGTCCGAGAAGCGCCAAGATATAGGTATTAGGTAGTAGTAAAGCAATTTAGGCAAGGCTGGGTTAGCGATCCTGATTTCAAATATAGAATAGAAAGAAGGTGACGGAACGGTTGTCTCTAGTCCCCCGGTTAGAACTAAGTAACTACGTACCAGTGTGGTTTGATTCTGACACTTGAACAAATCTCGAACGTATACTACGTACTAGCCGCCTGTGTCAAGAATAGATATAGGCTCAACGCGAGACCGGAACGAATCATGCACGTCACCCAGCCAAATCTCAATATCGGCTATCAAGCAATTAATCACTGCGCATCATGATACAGCCAGCCAGCCTTTCCTGCGAAAAAGACATACAAAATCCGTCCTTCCAGAAGCAACACCCTCAGCGCTAACTAAAAAAGCCCGTTCTATATATAGTCAAGGCTGACTCCAATTCCTACTACTAGGTATCAATCATGGACTCGAACCCGTCCATCGATGATGAAACTAGAACCCTGCACACTTGTCTGGGGGATAAGCAGGCTACTACTAGTAGTCTAGTTCGCAGCATCTTCAGCCCGCTCGACGCATGTGGGTGTATCTGGAAGCTCCATGATCGTGCGTGATTCGTCCGCACCGGCATTGGCTTTTCTTCGTGGGCGGTTAATGCTGGGTACTTAGTATCTTGTCCGCAGCGGTTCGCGGCTAGATTGTGCCCTGTGTTTCTAATCATAGAATGTGACGGACTGTCTGTGCGCTTTGTGATAGAGGGGTAAGGGGGGTGTTTTGGTTGTTGATTGCTTGCCGGGTTTTTCAAGATAATAGTGATTAACTGGTTGATTTGTGTCTTTTGTGAGGATGGTCTTGGTTTCTTCACGAGGACTGGTTGGTTAGTTTGAGGTCTAGCAGGGGTGTTTACCGTCAACTTCTTCTACTTAGTGCTAGATGCTAAGTGT